CCAAGGCAGTCGCCTACCTTTGCCTAATGGGTAAGTCCGCCCCTGGATACAGCGGACGAGTGGATATGAACTCCGCTTTAGACCAAACCATCGAGCCAAAAACAGCCCAAAGCGTCTGCTAAATGACTACTTACTACTAGTCCAGCTGTGTTTGAGAGGAATAATCACAGCGGAGAGACTGCAAAATCACTTATTTCTTCGTCTTTTTGGCTTTTTCCGCCCTCCTTCCTCTCCTATTAGGCAGACGAATGTAGATAGACGTAAAGAGAGAGAGCCAAACCTCTTCTCTCTTCTTTCTCTCTGTCTGTCTCTTTCTCCAGCTGTTTTCTCTCTCTCTGTCCGTGTGAGATAGGGAAGAACGCAAGCATGTGGAAAGTCTGTTTTCTCAGCTGCGGCAGAAGAATGGAGTGATGTGGAAGATGATAATGATATGGTGTGTCACTCAGTGAGCCGCCGTCACCAGCTCTCAGTGAACCAATACGGTTGCAGCGTTAGGTTACATAATGTGCTTGAAACGCAGATTTAAAAAGCGCCTTTTGTAGTTGACAATTTCTTTCTGCAAAGTCAGTTTCCAAGCAGCGGCTGGTTATATAAACCAATTCAGTTGAATTATTCATTAAGCTCATTCATAAAAGGCATTTAAATAATTTAAGAATAGGTCTCGTCCTCATAGTTACTAAAATGTAACTAGTTTTTATTATTAAATATTTAATTTTATATTAAATGATTTAGGACTAAGTTTTGTTTTTATTGTTACTAATTTGACTTCATTTTTGTATTATTGAATATTTAAATAATACAATTCAATTTATTATTGTGTATGTGTTAAGAATATATACATTATAAATCATTATAGTTATAAATATGTAGTATTTAATAAATTAAATTTAAAATGTATATATTAATGCGTACGCAGTATTAAATTTAATAGTATTATTGACATTTTTAATGATACAAATAAAACATTCTAGTAAGTTAAATTCTTATAACTACACTTATGAAAGAGCTTAAAATGAATATTTCATAAGTGCAAGTACTAAATATTGACTAACTCTCTCTCTCTCTCTCTCTCTATATATATATATATATATATATATGTATATATAAACTGCATAGTACATTTTTATTAAATAAAATGTATTAATTAATAAAAAAAAATATTATTATTACATATTTAAGCTCATTCATAAAAGGCCTTCGAGTAATTTATCTCTGAAAGCAATGAAATATAAAAATTGGTCTCATCTTTATATTTTCTAGAATTTGATTGGTTTATTTTTATTATTAACTGTAATTGTAATAGCATTATTAGTACTATATATTAAAATGTTATTTTAAATATTTTGTGCATTTATCTTAATATTAGCATTTTAATTTAGTTCATTATTAATTATATTTGTATTTATCTTTGTGTTTTTTATTTATTTATTTATAGTTTGGTGCATATTTGTAGTTCTTGTTCATAGATAGTATTTATGGGTTTTGTTCTTTGGCAAACTTTTTTTTTCTGTTTCAAGTATAAAATTCTTTTGCATACTTTTTTCTATTTTTCATGTATATTATAAACCTTTATGTTTTCCTTTCAGGGTTACAGGACAGGCTACATGTACCGGCACCCCATTGTGCGAGAGAAGCCGCGGCACAAGAGCGAAGTGGAGATTCCTGCGACAGTGACGGCGTTCATGTTCGACGACGACGACGCTCCACGCTTCCCTCTGAAGTTACTGCAGCAGCGACAGCAGAGAGAGAAAACACGCTGGCTCAATTCACCCAACTGCTACATGAAGGTGAACGTGTCGGACGGGGCGAGCGAGGAGAACGGACGCACTAAAACCATGGTGAGGCTCGGCTCAGCTCATCTCTGTTATGGCCATCTGAGATTTGTGCAATCCAGTTTTTGAATAGATTGCTGTAAAAGTAGTAAATCTTTCTTATCAGACAGGATTTTGTGGATGAGCAAGTATGTGGTTATTTCCTGAGCGTACCTTACAGCAGATGAAATGAACTCATATTTCTGTCATCACAGAAACTTTTGAAGTCTCATAACTTCTGTCAGTTGACTGGAGGCCGCCACTGCCTTCAAGCCTGATGCCAAACACAGTTCCCTCCTGACCTCTAGTGGTCAAGGCTTTAGTATTGCAGCTTTTGGCTGCATTTTTAGGGCCCTATGAAATTATTCTGAATTCCATTTATTTTTTCCTGTTTTAATTATTCTGGATTCCATTTTAATGCTTAAATTAAATTTTGTTGATAAAAACGCATTTCAATTTAATTGAAATCATGAAACTTACATAATTTAACAATATTAAATGTTTAAAAAATACATTATCAAAAAAAAAAAAAAAACTTTTTTGGGGCCCTTGTAACAACCTTTCTTTCCAAAATTTTTTTTTTTTTTCCCAAATTCTGTGTTTTCCGTTTTAATTGTATTTTAATAGTTTTTTTTTTTAAGTAATAAAAAGGCATGTCTAATTAATTGAAATCATGAAACTTACATAATTTAACAATATTAAATGTTTAAAAAATACATTATCAAAAAAAAAAAAAAAAAACATTTTTGGGGCCCTTGTAACAACCTTTCTTTCCAAAATCTTTTTTATTTTTCCCAAATTCTGTGTTTTCCGTTTTAATTGTATTTTAATAGTTTTTTTTTTTAAGTAATAAAAAGGCATGTCTAATTAATTGAAATCATGAAAAGTTGAGCAACTATTACATCTTTAGAGATGCAATTTTTTTTTTTTTTTTTCAAATTCTGTTTTGTTTTATTTTCCTTATTTCCATTTGAATGGTTTAATAAAATTTTAATAATCATAAAACATGTCTACTCAATTCTCAATTGCATTCATAAAACTTTTTTAAATTGTAGAGCTTTTTATAATAGAGTCCTGTAAAAAATGTTATTTTGTTAGAAATTCTTTGATGTCTGTTTAAATTTTCTGGATTTATGACTCGATACAAATTAAAGGCATAAAACATAAATAATTTAATTAAACTTTTAAAATGTAGTCAAATAAAAATGTTATTTGCCAAGCAAATTGCTGCACTACAGAGGTTCTCTGTTAAAATTAAAACAAAGGGAAGAAATTGTGATTATAAAATAGTGTTAATAATTTTATTGTTATTTATTTTGAAAAATATAATCTACTGTACAGTAGTAATATATTTCTGTCACAAGTTATAAACCTAACTATTATTTTGACAGGTTGTTGTGAACTTTGTTTATATATGATGATAGTTTTATTGGTGAATTGACTCTCAGAGCAGCTCTGGAGATGAAGTTCATGTGTTCACGGCCTCATGTAGTGAGAATGTACCACAAGCATCATGTGTGTTTTAGTACTAACTGCCGCTCATTCAGCAAGAATGAAATGTCAGAATTAGCCAAGTCTGAATTTAGCTCAAAATTAGACATTTGAGCATGTTTTCATGGCAGAAATTTGTTCTTGGTAGGAATGAGTTTATTGACAGAATTTTTTTTACTTTTTCAAAACAGCAGTCCCTAGACTTTTACACCGACTCGGAGTGAAATCTCAGCCTGTATTTATCTTCCTGAATTCTGTACTAAATCTCTTTCTCTAACTCCTCCTCTGCAGTGGATGAAGTCCGATGACGGTGGAAACACCAGTGGGACTCCGATCCGCATTGAAGATCCCAACCAGTTTGTTCCTCTGAACACGAACCCCAGTGACGTTCTGGAGAGGAGAAATAAGGTGAAAAATAGACAAATACCATTTTTGCATTCACACTTGCTCCAAAAGCAAAAGAAAAAATCTACAATAACATTTCTGTGATTTTCCAAATAAAAATCACTGAGTCTTAAAGAGCTTTCTTGTGATCTTTTCAGATTCGTGAGCAGAACCGGTTTGACATGATGACAGCAGGGCCGCAGTCACAGCGCCTGGCAGGGATTGTGGTGGAAAGACCGCCGGTAAGTGTCAGTGACATTACCATAAACACAATCCTCCGTGTCACTAGGTGGCGCCAGATCCTGTCAGAGACAGTTGAACCGTAGTGAAATGAGCATCAGTTTAGAAGGAAAAGGCCTCATGTTTCAAAGCTAGGGATGGACGATACCTCTTATTTTATTTTCGATCCTATACCGATATTTTCAAGCCCAGGATCGTCGATACCGATACCAATACCTCTAAACTAAACTGATCTTTTAAATTATTAAAAGAATATAATCAGTAATTATACTCACTTAATATTAGATTATAAAGCCATGTATTTTAACATTTCATAGGCCGTTTTTGTTTACACTGTCAGAAAAAAATATATACTATAATTGTATTTTAGCCCTTTACTGGGGCAGTAACCTCAAAGGTGCAACTATACCCCTAAAAGGGAGCATATTAGTACCATACAAGTATGCATGCTTTAAGGGTAGATAAGTTACAAAGGTGCATCTTTGAGGGTACCTCATGAAAAATAAACATGGTGTTACATTAGTACTAATGTATTATTATTATTGTTATTATTATTGCCATGGTAAATTTGTGGTTACTGCAGTTTTAGTACAAATACTGTGGTAAACTGTGGTTACTGTAATAAAACCATGGTGAATTTTTGTAAAAGGCTGTCAGGCTGTTGTCAGGCTAAACTTTAGCATATTTCTTTCTGACAGATTTATTAACAGCAATTAGAGAACAGAACACAATCCATTTGAACTTTTAACAACCAGTTTAAATGAATTTACTTGCAAAAACTAGCCAATTTAAAATAAATATTTCATGTACACAAAAGTTTGGGGTCAGTAAGATTTTGTATTTTTTTTTTTAAGTCTCATGCTCACCAAGGATGCACTTATTTGAGAAAAAAAAACAGTAAAAGCAGCAATATTGAGAAATATAACAATTAAAAATAACTATTTTCTATTTTAATATATTTTAAAATGTAATTTAAAATGCATCTGTGATCAAAGCTGAATGTACACAAAAGTTTGGGGTCAGTAAGTTTTTGTAATATATATTTTTTTAAGTCTCATGCACCAAGGCTGCACTTATTTAAAAAATAAAATAAAGTAATAGCAGCAATATTGTGAAATATAACAATTAAAAATAACTATTTTCTATTTTAATATATTTTAAAATGTAATTTAAAATGCATCTGTGATCAAAGCTGAATTTTCAGCATCATTACTCCAGTCTTCAGTGTCACATGATCCTTCAGAAATCATTCTAATATTTACTGTTCAAGAAACATTAAACATTATTGCTGCTTCATATTTGTGTGGAAACGTGATGCATTTTTTCATATATAGTAATTAATTTTCATTTTATTTTATATATAGTTACAATGTAATGTAATAATGTGGCAATGGTTTCTATAGATCTACTTATGCTTCTGATGCTTTTGGGAAACGCAGCCCTATTTGAACAAGCACTGTGAGCCATGTGTCAGCAGCGAACGCTGTCTGTGATTGATTGGTTCTGTCTTTCAGCATTTGCGTGTTCCGATGAGCAGAAGAAATGGTTCTATCCAACACAATTATTCGCTGATATAGTCTATTTTTCCACTTACAAGCTTATTTTATGCACTGAATTTCTTGATAAATAAATAAAATTAATGGTTAAAAATGCACTTTAGAATCGATATTTTGATGTGAGGATCAATCCTTTCGTGATCGATCTGCCCATCCCTATTCAAAGCAGGGTCTTATGAAGCTCTGTTTTTCTTTTTAAGAGACAGTCGCCAGTCCAGGTAAAATCCCAGGGAGTTTTGTGTGTCGCGGTTTTCATTTTTGAAATATCTGCATGACTCCTTGTTACATCGAAATCTTGTAGTTTTGGATTTGCGGTGTTCTCACGTCATATTTTGCATTTTAATATTTGAGGATTTGTGACTTGTCTTGCTTTTGAATGCACACAGTGATCAACACATCTGATGGTCTGTGTGTTTGAGTGGTTTTTGTCGGCGTTGTGACTCATTTCATAACTGAGGTGCGCTTCGATTGTCTTATTTTGTGTTCTCTGCTCTGCCCCCACACACACGTGCAGCCGTACATGGGCGATAACGAGGAGCAGACGGGACCACTTCCTCCAAACCCCTTCAGCGAGCTGAGCGAGAAAGTGCTACAGGACTACCAGAAACGAGCAGAATGGCAGCAGCTCGGAGTAGACGGTAAAACACGCTCACGAGTCCCTCACACCTCCAGCGTACTCTACAGTTCGAGTATATATGTATATATAATACCGTTAGGGATGCAACGATTCACTCAACTCGCGAATCGATTCAGGATTTGGATTTCACGATTTGATTTTCTCATTATTATTATTTTTTTTTTTCAAAATGAGATTAAAGACATTATACAGTAAATGAAAAGGTGTTGTTTTATTAGGCGATTGCTGCATGTTTGTTTGTGAAATTGAAATATAACAAAACTAAATTGAAATTTTAAACAAAATTTCAAAACAAAATGGCCCTACATTAGCTTTGTGAAACTCTACAACATAAAACATCCGCACTGAACAAAAACAGCAGATGGGCTGAATGAGACAGTAGGTGGCGCTTATGAACAGCAGCGATACAAAGCAAGTGGTGCATTGTTACATCCCTACTAACCCCAAACTTTTAAACAGTGTTTCACCTTTCAGACTGGTGTAAACTAATAAATAAAGACTACTGTGATGCATGATACCTCCTTGCTTTTAAGATTTCCTCACATATATATATGAGCCAGTCAATACTAATGGTATAACTCGGCCCCTCATAGCTAAAAATCAATACAGTGCATCTTGCACAGGACTAACTTGAATGCACACAGCCAAGACTGTCTGTCCTGCGAGCGTCTTACAGCTGGGACAGTGTCCTCGCATGTTAACCTGTCTGTCTTTCTGTTCACTAACCAACTGACTCCTGCAGATGAAGAGCAGCTCACGTCAGACGACGCTTCCACACTCTCTCAGTCAGTGTCTCCACAAAACACTCCCGCTAAAGAAGGTATAGCACACTCAAAGAGCCAGCTGTCTCACCTCACTCAACCTCAACTGTGACCTCTGTGTGTGTGTGTGTGTGTGTGTGTGTGTGTGTGTGTGATGCAGATCCAAACTGCAGTATGTTAACATATCATGTCAATATTAGCTGCAAATGTTTACCAGGGTTGCTAGGTAACCGTTCAAGAGGAAAATGAAAGAAAACACTGCACTGTTTCACTATGATGATAATGAATTTCTCACAAAGTATAAGCTAAAACAATTAAAATCATTTTTTGATAATTGAAGTAAATCTGAAATAAAATATAAATATTACATGAAAAAACTACTTTGAGGTACTTTTATAGTTTTTATTAATATTTTGAATCCGTTTTTGTCACTTTTGTGTGTTTGTCATTTTTAGCCACTTTTATTTTTTTATGTCTATATATTATTTATTCATTTTTATTTCAGCTTTAGTTTACTATAATAACTAGAGCTAAAACCATTAATTCAAAAAAAAATTTCAAGATTTTATTCATTTATATTTATTTATAATGCTAAAATATATAAATATTACATGAAAAAACTACTTTGAGATACCTTTATAGTTTTTATTAAGATTTTGAATCAGTTTTTATTTTTTGTTTTCATTTTGATTTAGTAATTTTGTGTTTTTGTCATTTTAGGTGTTTATATATATATATATATATATATATGTATATGTATATATATATATATATATATATATATATGTATATAGTCTAGTTTTTATTCATTTTTATTTCAGTTGTAGTTTACTATAATAACTAGATTAACTAGGGCTAAAACCATTTTGTTATTAAAGTGAAGCTGAAATAAAATATAAATATTACATGAAAAAAAACTGAGGTACTTTTATAGTTTTATTAATAGTATAAATCAGTTTTTATTTTTATATTTTTGTTTTCATTTTGATTTAGTAATTTTGTTGTTTTTGTCTATTTTAATAGTGTGTGTAATATATATATATAGTTTTTTTATTCATATTTATTTCACTTGTAATTTACTATAGTAACACTTTTGTTAACTAGGGCTAAAACCATTAAAAAATAATTGAAGTAAAGCTGAAATAAAATAAAATGTTAAATGAGAATATTAATGAAAAACATAAAATTAAATAACTAGCCAAAATTAAAAATGTTGCCTTGGCTGCTAACTGAAAGAAGTTTAAGTTCAGGTACCAAAATTTAAAAACTGAAATTAAAACTAAATAGAACTATTTAAATAAAAATAAACTAAAAAAAATAAAAGCATGTAACAAAATTACTCAAATTAAACTGAAAAGTGAACATGTAAAAATTAAAAGACGTGCCATGATTATGAGTTTTATACAGGAGGAGAAGCGAGGGAAACTCCGGGGAAACTGGCTTCTCTCACCTGATGGACTGAAAATGTTCTGAGTTTATCTCGTTGATGAGCCCATACTGCATTATTTTTTTCATATTGTATGTTTATTAGATTCTCACACAGACCTTTTATGAGCCCCTTTTCTATCCGTCATCTCTCATGGTGTCAGTTCTGCTTGCGTCGTTTCTCCAGCTGTAGGTGAAATTGGTCACACTACACAGGAAACGCTTAAAGAATCACACTGGAAACCGTTTGGGGGTTATTTTAGCAGGGTCCTGTGTAGAGTCACTCTAGTCTCTCCGTTCCGTACGAAAACATTTAACCGCTACAAAAAGCAGAGCAGTCACGTTTTAGTGAACATCAACTCTTCATCTCTTATGAAATATTTTAGCTTTTTTTAAAAATTCAAACCATTTAGTTTTTATCCGTTCAGTTTTGTACACGTTTCTATTCTTTAACAACGAAACAAAACGAAGCATGTTTTGCTAGTCTGAATTTCTATGGCTGATAATGTAGTGGTGCAATCGTGTAATAGCTCAGATTACTAAACACATGTAACGGAAATATATGAAAACTGGAGTGATGAGATATACATGTATAAAATATAATATTTTTGTGCTGCACTTTTTAATGTGGTATACAACATAACAAAAAAAAAAACATCTATGGATGAAGATCTAAAGCGAAAGAGGCGCGAAACGAAAACATGAGAAATGTTTTAGCATCTTGAAAAAGGGTGGAGAAGGGAAACTCGTTAACGTGTAAGGAAAAAAATATATATTTGTAAACTGTATTTTTGAAAAAAAGGAAAGTACTGGCTCTCATGGGGTCAACAGTGGGTTCAAATCTATTCAGTGTAACTGATTCCCATCACATCAGACATTTAAGGTTCATTCTGGGCCTTTATAGTGCTACATCATTGATTATGTCACCTTATGGTCATCCCATAACCATCCAAAGCGTCAGTGTTACTAAAGTTTGAGAAACGCCGTTGTACAGTGTGTCTAAAACTGGATTGATTTACTCATCTTCCCTCCGCCACATCCGGTTCCCGTGAGGTCAGAGGTTGCTCGATTTGCCCGTTTCGAAGCGCCCTGTCCCACGGGATGACGCTCCGTGGACAGAATGTACACCAAAAGCTAATCTCTTATGGTTGAGATTAGCAGTTTGACCTCAGTTTGAACTCCGTTAGGCCCGAATATGGTCGTCCCGTAGGGGGAGGACGAGGAGGAACCACTGAGAGAGAGAGAGAGAGAGAGAGAGATGTATATCCCAGTGGGCAATGTGAAGTACTGGCTTGGGCACGGAGCGAGAGACAGACACTTCTAAGCTGTGTAAATAACATGTGCTTTTGAACGCGGGCCAGGCGTTGGATTAAATAGTACTACATCATTGATTATGTCACCTTATGGTCATCCCATAACCATCCAAAGCGTCAGTGTTACTAAAGTTTGAGAAACGCCGTTGTACAGTGTGTCTAAAACTGGATTGATTTACTCATCTTCCCTCCGCCACATCCGGTTCCCGTGAGGTCAGAGGTTGCTCGATTTGCCCGTTTCGAAGCGCCCTGTCCCACGGGATGACACTCCGTGGACAGAATGTACACCAAAAGCTAATCTCTTATGGTTGAGATTAGCAGTTTGACCTCAGTTTGAACTCCGTTAGGCCCGAATATGGTCGTCCCGTAGGGGGAGGACGAGGAGGAACCACTGAGAGAGAGAGAGAGAGAGATGTATATCCCAGTGGGCAATGTGAAGTACTGGCTTGGGCACGGAGCGAGAGACAGACACTTCTAAGCTGTGTAAATAACATGTGCTTTTGAACGCGGGCCAGGCGTTGGATTAAAACGCAATTTAAAGCTGCACCGGGTGCGAGTTTGGAGCGAGAACTGGGGCGGGCGGGAAGATTAACTCAGTTTATTGCTTGAAAGTTTTCCTTATTTTGACTCTTTTTGCTTTGGTTTCTATTGCGCATTGCTGTTTTCAGGAAGTGTAGGAAGCGTTAACTGGAATGTGCATCACATTCTCTTTTATTTTTGTTGCTCGTTTTTTTTTTTCCTTTTACCCCTTTTGACCATTTTGCACCTTGTTTTACTAATGCCTCTCTGTTAGTCTGTGGTTCAGAAGGCCTGTTTGCTTTGGCATGCGAGTTTGAGCCGAGCCTCTTTGTGACCTGTGAAATCATATATAAATGGTTATCTAACGGACTTGCTTTTAGATGTATTGCTAATCGGTGTAAATTCACAAATAAACTATTTTAAGAAGCAAACGCTGCACTCGTCTGTGGGGACGGAAGCGTGCATTTCATTCCATTTATGCATTTGTTTACATCATTCATTGCTTTTTCTCAGTTCTTCATACACAACCATTTATGCAAATGTTGATTTCAAAGTTTAGTTTACCTCAAAAACAAGAAATGTTTACTTTGCCCCTCATGTCATTCTGAACTGAGACTTTCTTCTATGGAACACAAAAGGAGAAATTGTTTAATATTCACACTGTTGAAAGATTATACTGGCCACAAAATACAGTGCAAGTATCATAAAAGTGGTAGTTATGCCTTGTGCACTATATGTAGGGCTCACAATATCACATTTTCACTACACTATAATCATGGCCAAAATAATTCATGATTATTAGAAATGTAGACATTTTGACCAAAAATGCTGCAAATCAAATTAAAATTAACTTTTTGTTTTTGACCGATAAATCACACTCAAGATGCAATATTTTTCTTTTCCTGAAAATAGTTCATGTTATCGCATTGTACTAAAACGTAACGACTTTGCTCACGCAACAACTTGACAAAAAAATATTATTTTTGGACTTCTTGGGTATTTCTTCCTCACCTTGTTTCTCTTGCAGTGTTTCTGGTCAAAAATGATCGGCCTACAAAAAAATGCCTGTAAATTTCTCATTACGCTATGTTATTACCAAATAATAGATTCAATCTTTTTGTCAACTTGTTTTCTTTCAATTTGCACAGGTTTTATATTTGTTTTTGGAACTAATTGATCATAGGTTTAATTGATTTGAGTTTATGCATTAAATATTCCCAAAATTATCTACAAAAATATCACCCAGAATGCCAGAAAGGAAAATTCTGTCGTTAATTACTCACCCTCGTGTTGTTCCAAACCCGTAAGACCATCGTTTATCTTCAGAACACAAATGAAGATATTTTTGATGAAATCCGAGAGCTTTCTGACCCTCCATAGACAGCAATGCAACTGACACGTTCAAGGCCCAGAAAGGTAGTAAAGACATTGTTAAAATAGTCCATGTGACATCAGTGGTTCAACCGTAATGTTGTGAAGCTACGAGAATACTTTTTGTGCGCAAAAAAAACAAAAATAACTTTATTCAACAATTCTCTTCCATTTCAGTCTTTACCGCTTGTTCACGAGAGCACCACGATATTTGGTAATAATATAGCATAACGAGATTTACAAGCAGTTTTTAAAAGGCTGGTCATTTTTGACCGGGAACACCAAAAAAACAAGGTCTAGAGACGGTGAACTTTGAACTTGAGCGTCACATTTTTAAAATGCCATGTCATGCACAAGACACAGCAAAAGACACTAATGCAATGGTCAAACATGTCCGTCTAGTGAACGTTTTCGCAGAAATGCAATGGGAAAACATTCATTAACAATAACAGTATCACTGTTATAGCCAATATCACCGCTATATTGCAACGCCCTTTATTACCAGTCATCTAAATGCATACAATAGCTTTCAAATACCACTTGCATCAATGCTTTTTTCAAAAATAGAGCATGAAGATGTCGCACCATCATTGATGAGAGC